TGAGCATGAACCGCAATCTATTATGGTGTGATATATGCCCACCACTGAAGGATGGGTGTGTATTGATTGCAGGCGGTCTATAACTTCAGAGACCCAATAAAGTAAATACATTCTTGATCAGCGTGAAATTTTGAATTCATTAAGCTGCGTCTGTCCGTCTGTACGGCTGTAAAGTGTTTATTATTTGCACTCACCTGATCGGAAAAATGAAGATATCGTTTTCGAATCTAGTGAAAACATTGGCTGCTTTTGCACGCAGGTTGATATTGAAAATGGGCTAAATTGATCAGAGCAGAAGCCCGCAACGGAGCGTAAACTTAACGCAACTGCGTTTCTCTTAACAAAAATTTCAGATACCCTTATAAGGTACACACATTAAGCCATGATTAAGCCATGTCTGTCCGTCTGTATGGTGTTTGTTGTCGCCACTCTCTTGATCGTAAAAATGAACACATCGTTTTGCAATTTGGCAGAAACATTGGAAGTTTTTGCAAGCAAATTGCTGTTGAAAATGGGCCAAATCTATCGAAGGATACGCCCACAGCAGAACGAAAAAGTGTTTTTTTGCTCATTACTCATAAACTTCCCTTAGAACGCGCAGAAACAAGCTTCAAAAACTCCATAAAGTATACATATTCTTGGGCAGTTTCAAATTTGGAATGCTCCTAAACATGGCCGCCTATTCGTCTGTCCATCAATCTGCTTGCATAACTTTGTAGTGTTTGAGTTAAACATTCTCCCGTTAGCGATAATGAAAATATCGCCTACAAATTTGCAAAAGAATTTGGAATTAACCTAAACTTTTCAAAGGACGCGCCTCTACAACGCCCATATGTCTATACGACAAAACACTTTTATTTGAAAATAGAAAAAATCAGCTGCGTCCACTCCATACTATGGAGCATAGAAATGTTGCTCTTTTTTTTCGTTTGTCTTTTTTAGGATAACGGTGGCGGGTATCCGCCACCGGCGGTCCTGACCGAGCGCCAAAGCGGCATAAGCATTGCCGGTATCACGGCTCTTGGTTTTTTCATTCATTACAGTTAACTCGTAGAGTAAAAATACATCTCATCCACGGAGTATCTATTTTCTAGCAATTGCCATAAATGACCGGATAACTGGATCTTCGCTGATCTCAGCGCGTCCGAGAATTTGTTTTTCTTTAATTACAAAACGCACTTTCATATTTATTATCGCAAATAGTGATTTTTTTTAAAATAATTTTTTTATTTTTTTTTTTTTTAGATTAAACTTGTTTTTTTAAACGCGGTTTCCATCCTGATTCGAAGAGTAAGGCATCATTAAATTGATTAAACTTCAATAAATACTTGGATTAAATTTTCGAATGCCATATAAACGAAGAGTGTGAATACTTTACCCGTCGCTTCCCACTAAGTGATGGATGCACACAAGATAATATAATAAATAAACTGGAAAAATATTTCAATAATTAATTAAAAATCATTATTTCAAGTAATATTTACCCGTTTTTAATTTCTGCACATTTATTATTATCATCCATTATGCTAAAAGTTAAGCGATTTTTGTTTGCTTTATTTCGAAACGAAATCCATGAACGCTTAGTATTTATGTAAACGACATTTTTTACAATTTGTTTTTTCTTTCTGTTTTTTTTTTTTGTTTTTTTTGTTTTTTTCTGCTATGTGATTTAACCACTTGTAATAACGACTTTTCGTTTTTGCTTTGTTTATATTTTTTTTTTCACATATATATTTTCTACGTAAACTGTAGAAGACAAATGAACAGTTATTATATTATGTATGTACACAATCGCACTGTTTGACCATGTTTTGCGGTTAAGGTTAGCTACTAATGTTTGCCAATTATGTGTCGTCTAATTTCCTCAAATAAAAATTGAGTGCATATTGCAAACACATAATCTGTCAAAAAGGCATTGGTCCCATAAGAGCTGGAAAACGCTCAAATAGTAATAAAAACAAAAAAACTAAAGTAAACTATTTTGCTTCAACGACCGACGCTCAATATGGTTTTTAAGGAAAGTTGTTGATTTCTTTACAATTAAAACATCTGTAAATAATAGTTATTTAAAGATGTATAGCGCAGCTGCTTATTTTATTGAAAACAGATATCACAAAAAAAAAAATATATGTGATTTTGGGATATATTTCGAATGTCCAAAATTTTTTTATAATTATGTGTTCGTGCTATGAAAACTAAATAAATTTTTTTAGCACAAAATGTTTAATGAAAAAAGAAAAAAACATGTAAAACTGGTATAATGAGATATGGCCTACTACTAACCACCCTACACCACTTCACTTAATACAACGGGCTCACAAGGGAAAGCAAGGCTTTATATTGGATGTGATCGAAGAAGTTGTCCGATCCCAGTCATTTTCAAGAGCGTTAGTTCTTGAACCAAAAACAAGTTGGTGTATCAAATTTCATCAAAATATTGCAATCTGTAAAAAAAGGTATACAGACGGAAGGACAAACAAATTTAATTCGATTCGCAAAGTAGGTCGGATATAGGAAAAGAAGAAAAGTAGTTGAACAGACAAGATTAAATCTATGCAGAAAGTGATTCTGAATCGCTCGGGCGCATATATCTCAAGTCCCTCTGGGGGTTATATACATTCGCATAAACTTAAATGGACATATCAACTCAAATCGATTTGAACGCAAGATATGAGGACAGATATACTTAAACCTATTCGGAAAGCACATCGAACACAGGAAAATAAGACAGACAGACGGACGGATAACCTTAAATTGATTCGGAAAATAATTCGAATTTAAAAAAAAAGACGACAGACAGATAGACGGACAGATAACATGCGTACATTGGTTCGGAAAGTAATTCGAACGGAAGAAAACAAGAAGGGTAGACGGTCAGACAAGCTTAAATCCATGCAGAAAACGATTCTTAATCGACCGGTGTAATAAGCCTGAGTGGCCGAAGGAGAGGAATCTCGAATAGCAACTCAATGGTCGTGGGCGGTAGAGTTTTTTATAAAATTCGGTGGCCTTAAAGGCTAGTGCTTTAAGAGTTTAGTCTTAGATTTTATTTCTCTGGCGAAATCAATAATAATAATAATAATAATAATAAGCGTGTCTACCTTATGTCCGTCTGGATGTCACATACATCCTCACAAACTTAATATATCTTTGTGTCGCACACGATGTAGGGTATGGACCTGTACTGTGCCATCAAACACTAACACAATTTTTTTTCTTTTTTAAATTATGCACTCAAGGATTGCGCTGTATAAATAGAGCAGAGTAGTAAGGGAGGATAATATAAATATTCGGGCCTAACTAGATTTTTCAAAAGCTTGGTTTTTTTTTTTCTTCAGTTCTTTCAAGTATTGTATTGAATTTTTTCGGAATCCGCGGATTCCGACGATTTCAAAAAAATAAAACATTAATAGCTGAGATGACGACCTTTTAAGCACATTTCAGATTGTTACAAACCAAATACTAAGTTCAGAATAAACTCATTCCCGCAATTGGTAGAAGTAATTATATACACATTAGTTACAAGATAATTGAAAAAAATCTGTTGATTTCATTAATTAATTATACGAGAATAGTCTCTTTATTAAAATTAATGATTTGTAATTTATTTTCATATTATTAAACAATTAAATGGGGAAGGGTGCAGTGTTTAAAATTACACAACATGTAATTAATCATTTAGTGTCTCCAAAGGAATTCATTAAAAATGCTGAACAGAATAAGTTCAACGTCACTAAGTGAGATTTTCTATTATTCTCTTCATAACTTACGGTACAGGGGTAAGTTTGTATCGAAGAAGGCGGTACCTAAAACAACTTTTGAATAGCCATATACTTTATTATGTCAATTCATGTTTAAAATTGATAAGTCGATCATTTCCTAAATTGATTTACGTATTCACGCCTTTACCCCAAATATTTCCAAAATATTTTGATATCATGTATAGCGAATTAATTTGTTTTAGCTCAGCAATGAACGCTAATGAAAATGGATTGGATTAGACCATTCGCACGTTCTCGTTAACAACTTGTTGTTTTTATACTTATCATCGACGGATGAGAAGTATATTCATTTTCTCAAATCGTCCAGGAGGAATCTTCAGAGATCCCACAAAGTATGCATATATTCTTGATCAGTATCAACTTCTAAATCGATTTATTGCATGCCCGTCTGTCCGTCTGTGTAACGTCTGTTTTATACATTCCTGCATTCCTGTTCATTGGCCTCATTGAAAATGGGCGAAATCGGTCGAAAAACACGCCTACATTGCCGCCTGTATTTTCAAAATGAATAAAAAAATTGCTTTTTTTTGCTCATTACTCATAAACTATGGCCAGTAAATGTACAAAAATTTTTACACATATTGTATGGGCATGGCTGTAGCACCTTACCACGCCTATTCAATATTCTGGTGTATCAAAATTTAATTGTTTTTTAAATACCTTTGTAAAGGGTAGCGGTAAGCATGACCGTCTGCTCGTGGTCGAAAAAGTCGTCCCATCCGAACCATTTACAATAGCTTTCGTTCTTGATCGAAATTTCCTTAAAATTTCTTAAAAATTTCGGCCTATACGTCGAATACAGCATAATAAGACGGACAGGCTTTATAAGGGGAATGGTGGACAAAGTGATACGATTGGAACCCTTTTTAATAGCTTTCGTTCTTTGACCAAATTTCATCAAAATAGTTTGAAAACCGCGACCTGCAGATCGAATACAACAAAACAAGACGTTTTATAAGGGGAACGGTGGAAAAAAGTGGCCCGTTTGTCATCCTTGCGCCAAATTTCATCAAAATATCTTAAAAATTGCGGCTGGCAAGGGAAATAGAAGAAAACGAGACGGACGAGACAGTCATCGTTTACGTGTGGAAAGGTCGGAAAAGTGGCCCGATCTCAATCATTTCCAATAGCTCTCGTTTTCGGGCCAAATTTCATGAAAATAAATTAAATAATTGCGACCTGTAGATTGAACCATGGAAAGCAAGACGGACAGACAAGGTTAGATCGATTAAAAAATTGATTCTGATTCACATGAAAAAACTAAACTTTAACGTAAAAACAAAATGTAATTTTTTTACGACGAAAATAATTAAAGATTTACATCGAACGAATTCTTGTAAGCTATTCTTGTGTGTTAGTAGTCTTGTCCAACTGCATTAAGTTTTAACTCGTTTCATTTATAGAGATTGTAGTCTTTGTATCTGCGCAATATTCGCGTTTAGTCGCAGACAAGAAAGGTTATCAGCATATATTCTTTTATATAATATAAGAAAGTGATGAGATAAAGCTTTAAATAGCTGACGGCAAGTTTTGAATATCTATTGATTTTGCGATATTCTCGAACAGATCGGATCATACATATACACACGTATACACGCGCACACATTAACATTTATAAATTCAAATTAATTTACATTTACTTTACTTTATTTTTCGCCCTATCTCTCTGTCTATGATACTTCCTGACCACCACAAGCGGGACATCCCCTGAATGGCTGATCAAAACTATATATATATATATATATACATTATGGAAAAAAAGTAAATAAATAAAATTTACTTTTTCTAGAATTTATTGTTTTAAAAAAAAATATAGTATTGTTCTTAGTTTGAATTTGCAATAGATTTTCAATAGAAAATTTAATTTTTTATACCCATCACCGACGGATGAGAAATATATTCATTTTGTCAAAACGTTTGCAACACCCGCAGAAGGAGGCATCAGCGACCCCGCAAAGTATACATACATTCTTGATCAGCGTCAAAATTTAAGTCGATTTAAGCATGTCCGTCTTCCCGTGTGTCCGTCTGTGTAATGTCTGTGTTATCCATTCTCCTGGCCGCAACAATGAAGCCATGGACTTCAAGTTTGGCAGAGACATTGGAAGTTTTTGCACGCGAATTGATGAACTGAAAATAGATCAAATCGATCGAAGGACCCTCCGATAGTACAACATGAACTGAGAACACCCCTGTCTTTCAAAGGGAGTGAAAAATTGATTTTTTACTCATTGCTCAAAATCTATAGGAAATAAGTGTAGCAAAATTTGAATGCATATTCTATGGGCGATGCTATAGCATCTGTGCATAAAAACGAAAAGAATTGACCACGCCTACCCAACGTTATAGTGTATCAAAATTAAATTTTTTTTTCAATACCTTTATAACACGCAGAAACAAGCTTCAAACATCTCATAAAGTATACAAATTCTTGGCCCTTGAATGTACCTAAACATGTCCACTTATACGCCTATCCATTTATCTGACTGTCTTTGCAACTGTGCAGTATTTATGGTAAACATTCGCATACAAATTTGCAAAAGAATTTGGAATTGATTGGAATGGATTCAAAGGACACGCCTACAACGTCCACATGCCTATACGAAAAAAACTTTTTATTTTGCAGATAGTAAAAATCAGCTGCGCCCTCTTCTTCTCTATATTATAGAGCATGAAAATTCTGTTCTTTTACTTCTTTTGTTTTTTTGCTAAAGGTAAAAGTTGATGGGTATAAAAGATTCGGTTCCAAACGAATTTAATTTTCGTACTTATTATTACATAAGAAGCTTTAAAATAAACGATTCTTTTTAATTATGAGAAGAAACATGTGAGACCACACTATGAGTCGTCTAACGTGTAGTTTTAAGATGCATTTAAACAACTTTCTTTCCGCGATATTATATGCTCAACGTTTGACGGAATATAAAGAATAATATAAAAAGTATTTTTGTTTTTTTGTTTTTC